CTTGACCTTTATGACGATGAAGGAGCAACTTGACATGGATATTCTTCAATGGTGGAACCAACAAGAAAGTCAATTCCCTATTATATCCCAAATGGCACGTGACATTTTATCTGTGCCGGTTTCTACAATTGCATCCGAGTCAACATTTTCAACGAGTGGTCGGATTGTTGAAGACAGAAGATGTTTTTTAACCGATGAGATGATTGAAGTGATAAAGTATTTACGGGATTGGACTCATGCAGAAATAAGACTATAACAGCACCCTGAAGATCCCGAACTACTCGAACTCTTTAGGAATACATATTTGAATAATGTAACTAGTGTTGACGATGAAATTGAAGATGAATAATTTAATTAAAAAAATTATTTAATTGTTTATTTGTGAAGCGTGAATGTGTGAAATGTGAATATTATATTTATGTTAAAAATTAAAATTAACTATTAATTTATTATTTTTTAAAATTAATTAAATTTTTAGAAACTTACTAATCAACCCCTAAAAAATACTAAAAACCCCCTATAAAATTTCGTTTTACCCCCAAAATATAAAAAAAATTGAGAGGGGAAAATAAAATTTTCCAAACCCCATGGGACCAGTCCCGACCAGGCCTAAGGCCTGGTCCAGGTCCTGGTTTTTCTCATGGGCCTGGGACCGGTCCCAGGGCCATGAGAGACTGGTCCCATTTGGGACCAGTCCCAAGGGACCAATCCCAAACGGGCCCAGGCCTGGGCCCGCAAGGGACCGGTCCCTTGCCCAGGTATAATTGATACGTATGAAGTCAAGAGAAACTAATACTCTAATTATATAGAACTAGTGATTGCACTAAAAGATTTTGGTTTTCTAATTGTTTTTCTTTCTCATCTTCAATACACTACAAATATAATTGTGTTGGATATATTGTGTTGCATATTATTTTAATCAAATTTGGAGTCATATTGATAAAAATAGGAAAACTTACATAAAGTCACCCAAAGTTCATTGAAAATTCAATGACCTACCAATGATCTACCTAAACTTCCATGAAAAGAAAAGTTCCCTCATTTAAAATAGCCTCAAAAGCAATGGAATTATAAGGTCAATCTCAAAAAGAAATTAAAAATAAAATTCATAAACCAAGGGATTAGTTGTTCGATGGTTTACAATTAATTGACCTTGTCATTTAGAATTATGAGAACATAGTTCTCTCAAAATACAGTAAAATTTTTCTATAGTCATAATAGTGGGATGAACTAATTTTATTACTATAAGGAGGTTATAACTTAATAAAAGTGTAGTTACAAAAATTATTGTTTTGATTTTTGATTTTATAATTCATGTTTTAGTATTACAATATTAGGATTTCAATTCATGTTTTAGTAGTAATAGGATTTCAATTCAGTGCTTCAATTGTCTACTTTTGTAATGGATAAAAGATCGTGTCTTGGAACTAGCAAAAATAAGTGTCATTGATGGAACTTTAAATGCAGTTGATGCATGGTAAATTGATATGAAGCCACAAACAATTGTCAATGGTTTTAAGCACTGCAAAATTAAGACCTCCGATGTCAATGAATTGCAAGTTACAAATGAAGTGGATGAAGAGAATAAAAGAGTCAATGCAGAATTGAGTGATTAGATTCGACAACTTCATTGCACTAATCGAATGGATATTAATGTCTTCCTTGATCATCCAAATGAGCAACAAATTATGTATGTTTTAATTAAAGAAGAAACCATTGCTGCAATTTAATAAGAAAAGAAATGAAATAATCTTGAGGATGATAGTATGGAAATACAAAAAGTTTTGTGCTATGAAGCTCTAAACATGCTTGAGAAGCTAAAAATATTTTGGCTTCAAAAAGAAGGTATTCACGCTAGCAAATTATTACGTACTCACAAATTAAAGATGTGGTAACAACTCTAAAGCATAAATCATTACCTCAAACAACTTTAAATAAATATTTTATTTCATCTTAAATCTTTAATGTAACATAAAATATATATTTTTGTAATATATAGATAATTATTACTATGTGGAAGTGACTTTCCTTAAGGCGAGAATTAAAAAAATTATAACTTATTATAATGTGAAGTTTATTATTATTTATAACTATCTCAAATTGAGACTAAATTTTTTTATGACTATGTAGAGTTTATTATTATATAGAGTATCACTATAGAAAGATTTTACTGTAATTGATACGTTTGAAATCAAGAGAATACTAACATTAATTGTATAGAAAATAATTTATTGTTTAAAGAGATTGATGCTAATTAGATTTCAAAAAGTTTCAATCAGCTCGAGCTAAGAGTTTATTCGTGCACTCAATATCCAAAATTCAATGGGAAAATCGTGTGTTTGAGAAAACTTTGTTTGAGAACATATTAACAAATTAATTTCAAGTTCTTGGGTATGCTTCTTTATTATCACATTATGAGCTATACGAATGATATCAGATGTAACATCTTGTATATATAAAAAGTAAATTTAATGAAATGTTCAATAAATATGATTAAATGATTTGTGTTAGGGCCAAAAATCGTCCTCGGCCCAAATTGGAAAATGAGTCTCACAATGAAGAAAAGACCAGGCCCAATCCCGATGCGGCCCAATCCGAAACTCACCAGATTAGGCCCATTTGATACGAGGTACAATTGGCCCAAACCATCCGGACACAAGCCTCTTAATCCTAGTTCACTTCTTGGATCTGTGAACGAATTCAAAGCCCACGGCCACCTACGGATCACATTCCTATTTGAACACTGACAAAGTAGTCCATATCACCCCAACTCCTCCAAGGTCCATGTTAGAGCCATACTTGGACTCCCTTTCACGCCAGGATAAGGGGATCAAAGGATATATCCCTGGAGGAAACGGATTGCTATGAGGACTCCTAATCCCACTAGGATTGGGAGACCAGACAGTCACTATTTAAATAGAGGCCAGCCCTCTCACAAGGCAGATTAAATTACACCTTCAGACCCCGGAGTTCCCGCTTGAGAACTTCAGATCACAGCTGTAGTCACAGTCCCTGACTAGACTTCTGGTAACCTCTCTACTCCCTAGCCCTCACTAAATTAGTCTCTTTTAGCCTTGCTGACTTGAGCGTCGAAGTGCCTATGCAAACACCACCCCAATGTTTTCTGTCGCTCCACGTTTGTTTCTCTACGTGTGCAGGTACAGTAGATCGCTAGTGGCCTTAACCTCACAGGATCAGACCCTCTTTGCGTACATGTAGATTTTTACGTCTACAGTTTGACGCCCACCATGGGGCCTCTAGCAATCATTCGATTCAACAAACCCTGCTACGTAAAGGAACTTTCCATGGCTGACAATTCTGACAATGCTAACCCCGGCCTCGAGGCTAAACTGGAAGCTCTGACTACCCTCATGCAGCAGAACTCAGATAAGGTGGCTGCACTGGAAGCTGAGAACACTGCCATTAGGACTGAAAACGCCTCCATTAGGGTCGAAAACTAGTCTCTAAAAGAAAAGGTAAGTCAGTTTTATGACCTTGAGCTTTTGCCTTCTCAGGTACCACCCAATCGATTTCGTGCCTCGGTTTCATCTATGCAACCTTTCCAAACCCCAGAGCCCAGACCCGTGGCTTCAGATAAAAGGCCGCATCAACTATGTTCGTTGGTGGTCGACAATTCGATCCTGACCCATGGAGAAAAAGATCTGCTAACGGAACCCCGCTTGGCTGAACCACCTTAATCATAAGATCAAGGCGTCCAAGTGACAGAAAGCCCACTCCAACAAGAACCACCCATCCTAGCCATCCCAGCCATCCCACCTCACCTCTAGTCAACCATCCCTACACAAAACCCATTCAGCTCGGCTCACCTTCGCAGGTCAAATGGCCACCCAAATCAAACCATCCAGCTCGAGTCTATCCATCCCGACAAACCGAGCGAGTACCAAACAACCCCCTTGACTATTCATGTAGGGCGAAACACTCGATCAGTTATAATGAGAGTCATCCAACCAGAAGGAGTGAACGGTGATCCAAGCTACCAAGCGATACATGAAGGAATGATCCACCAGGCTACACCACATAGAATGACCCAACAAAATTTGCCGAATGCAATGGCTGACCAAGTCAAACAGGATGACCTAGTGGTATCACCCTCTCTCATGGAACAGATTCTAGTCAAGAGACTGGCTGATGTAGAGGCAGTGATGAGGCGCATACTAGGAATGCCGATCCCCACCAAGAAGAGCATGCCCCACTGCTACGCCGATTCACTTTTTATAGATGCGATCGCTCTAGCCGACATGCCCCATAAATTTACTATCCCTGGCATGAAGCCCTATGATGGTACAACCGACCCAGATGATCACATAGCCTTGTACAAGCAGCGAATGTTCACTGTTTCGATACCCCAAGCGTTGAGGGAAGCCTGCATGTATAAGAGTTTTGGTTCAAGCTTATCTGGTCCAGCACTTCAGTGGTACACCAATCTCCCGAATGGTTCCATCGACTCATTCACACGACTCACCAACACCTTCGTGGAGTAGTTCGCCAGTAGCAAAAAATTCAAGAAACTATCGATCGATCTATACAGAGTATACCAGAGAAGGGGGGAGCTACTGAGAGAGTATGTCAGCAGATTCAATAAAGAGAAAATTTTCATCCCTTCTTGTAACCCCGAGACAGCTGTAGATGCCTTCAGGAAAGGTCTCCTCTCGGATGGAGAGTTATACAAAGAGCTGGCGAAGCTTGGCTGCACCATGATGAAGGACGCCTTGGCCAAAGTAGTGATTCAGATAAGGTGGGAAAAAGATGAGATGAATCGGGCAGTACACGCTAGGTATGACCTAAGGCGGAATGATAGAATGCTAGAATTTAGATCGATTGAACCCCGTCACCAGCCCCCTCCTCGTAACCAGAACAGAGTAAGAAAACCATATGACCACCAGCCACTTAGAATCGATAACAGACCAACTAGACCGACCCGATACAAAATCCCAGAGTACAACCTCAACGTCGAACCAGCCCAGGTGGTGGTGGTGATCATGAAAGGAATGAGATCTAGTGTTAAGTGGCCAGGCAAGCTAAATGACGAAGCAAGGAGAGACATGACCAAGTGGTGCGAGTTCCACGGTGACCATGGACATAACACCCCAGACTGCATTGCCTTGCGGTTGGAGGTCGCTGCACTATTGAAGAGAGGACATCTCCGAGATCTGTTGACAGATAAAGGGAAGAGTACCATCAGCCAGGAAAGCACGAAAGAAAAATCTCCACCTCTGCGGGAACCTATGCCAAAAGGATTCTGCAATATCATCTCAGGAGGGTCAGAGATTAATACGGTAAGTTACTCTTCAACCAAACGCTACGCTAGAGCCAATAGCCACTATAAAATACAATCTATCCACCTGTCCTCTCGGTCACATTCCCACCAGGTAATTCAGTTCGAAGATGACGAGCCAGTTACCTTGGCAACCCCTCACCACGATGCTTTAGCCGTCTCCCTCCAGATCGCCAACATTCTAGTCAAGAGGGTATTCATAGACCGTGGATCATCAACAAACATTCTGTTCCTTGAAGCAGTGAAGACTATGGGTCTGAAAGAAGCAAACATCAACAGAAGGCCGACCCTACTAGCTGGGTTCAGTTTTGAGTAGAAGTACACCATCAGAGAGATCGTCCTTCCTATCTACGCCAGCGGAGTAAACAAACAGACTCTCTTTCTGGTGATCGACTGTCCTTCACCATACAATGTTATCTTGGGTCGACCCTAGATCCACGACATGCTAGCGATCCCATCCACTTTCCACCAAACAATCAGGTTTCTTACCAAATGGGGAGTACGAGAAGTCAAGGACGACCCGAAAGCTTCTAGAGATTGTTACAAGAACGCTTTAAAGGGCAAGGGTAACGCTTCATAGCAATTATAGTCCTATCCAACCCCTCCGACTGAGCCGGATCAACCATCTATGGAAGAGTTGGATGAAGTACAGTTATATCCGGACGACCCCAAGAGAAAGACACACATAGATTCCCGCCTCAGGCCCGAGACAAGAGAGAAGCTGATAGAATTCGTCAGACAGAACCAAGACTGTTTCGCCTGGTCCCACATTGACATGACAGGGATCAGTCTAGAGGCAATGGTCTACCACCTCAAGGTAGATCTGGATCACCAGCCAGTGAAGCAAAGGAGAAGGAAATTCGCACCAGAGCGCAACCGGATCGTCAATGAAGAGGTTGAAAAGCTACTGAGCAATAGTATGATCAGAGAGGTCCACTGCCCCGAATGGCTGGCAAACGTCATGGTTGTAAAGAAAAAGAACGGAAAGTGGAGAGTCTGCATCGACTTCACAGACTTAAACAAAGCGTGCCGTAAGGATTCCTTCCCGCTCCCACATATCGACATGATGGTTGATGCAACTGCAGGCCACGAGCTCCTTAGTTTCATGGACACTTTCTCAGGGTACAAACAAATCTTGATGCACCCGGACGACCAAGAGAAGAAAGCCTTCATCACGGAGAGGGGAACTTACTGCTACAAGGTGATGTCATTCGGTCTGAAGAACGCTGGGGCTACCTGTCAACGGATAATCAATAGGATGTTTGCTGAACACCTCGGGGACACTATAGATGTTTACATCGATGACATGCTCGTCTAATCCTTGATAGCCGAACATCACCTTGACCACCTCAGCCAGGCATTCGTCGTCCTAAGGAAGTATAACATGAAGATGAATCTAGCAAATGCTCATTTGGCATCTCGTCAAGTAAATTCTTGGGCTACATGGTAACTTAGTGAGGGATAGAAGCCAACCCTAACCAGATCAGAGCGATCTTCAATAAATCATCCCCAACTTGCATTAAAGACGTCCAACGCCTTGTAGGACGAGTAGCCGCCTTGAGCTGTTTCATCTCCAGATCCGCCGACAAGTGCCACCTTTTCTTCCATGCACTCAAGAAGTCCAATAAGTTCGAGTAGACCCCCTCCTGCGAGGAGGCCTTGTAACAATTGAAAAGGTACCAGACCTCCCCTTCGCTCCTTTCTAAGCCTGTGGATAGGGAAAAGCTTTACACCTATCTGGCGGTCTCAGAGACGGCTATCTCAACAGTGTTAGTTCTGGAAGAGGAAGCGAAGCAGCTACCGGTCTACTATGTGAGCAAGGTTCACCTAAGAGCAGAAACGCGGTACAGTCAGTTGGAGAAACTGGCCCTCGCACTCATCCATGCATCCAGGAAACTCAGACCGTTAGTGCCACTGAATAGTTGTACTCACCTCCTTTCCACTCAAGAAGATATTGCACACACCAGAGCTATCAGGCCGACTCACACAATGGACAGTAGAGCTTAGTGAGTTCGACATATCATGCTAGCCTCATACTGCCGTCAAGTCCCAAGCATTGGCAAACTTCATCGCGGATTTCACCATGTGCACCACCGTCCAAGCAGAAATAGAGTTATTATGCATGAATAGTGGGTCGCCTTCCAAGTGGACTCTCTCAGTGGATGGCTCAAGCAACGTGAATAGCAGCGGGCTCGGGCTCGGGCTCGGGCTCAGGCTCAGGCTCGGGCTCGGGCTCGGGGTCAGGCTCGGGCTCGGGCTCGGGCTGACTACACTAGAGGGAGACATCATCTAGTGGGCAATACGATATGGGTTCAAGTGCATGAACAACGAAGTCGAATATGAGGCCTTCATCGCTGGACTCTCCCTAGCCAAAGAAATCGAAGCAAGGAGACTAGAGGTGAAGTCCGACTCCCAGCTCGTGGTCAACCAACTATAAGGTACTTACCAGGCACGCGACTTGAAGATGATTGCCTACTTGAAACTGGTCAAAGAATTGCAGGCCTAATTCGAAGAATTCTCCATCGCCCAAGTCCCAAGAGCGGAGAACTCTCATGCTGACGTCCCTGCTAACCTCGGCTCAACCCTTCAATGTTCTTCCTAGTCATCCATCCCTCTGTTATTTATACAATGGCCAGCCAACTGGAAGGAACAACCAGCAAACAAGTCGCCCGAAGAAGCAATGGACATCGAGCTGGCCGATTGATAGATGACCTTGATAGTGAAGTACTTTGAACACAACGAGCTCCCGACTGACAAAAACGAAGCACGCCGCCTGAGAGCAAGAGCCACCAGGTTCACCATATATGAAGGCCAACTCCTCAGGAAATCATTCTCCGATCCCTACCTCAAGTGCACAGGCCCCGAAGAGGCCAAACATGTTCTCGCCGAACTCCATGAAGGCGAATGTGGAAACCATGCAAGGGGATGCAGCCTGGCTCACCGGGTGATCATCGCTTGATGCTACTGGCCAACCATACACACTGATTCGGCTGCTTATGTTAAGAAGTGCGATAGTTGTCAAAGATTTGCTCATGTCTCACACCTCCCACCCGAGCGACCCCACTCCATCCTCACCCCTTGGCCCTTCATGAAGTGGGGAATGGATATAGTAGGAAAGCTACTGACCGCACTTGTGACAGATTACTTCACTAAGTGGATTGAAGCCGGAGCTTTTGCACAAGTCAGAGACCAAGAAGTAAAAACTTTTATCTGGAAACATGTCATCTGCAAGTTCGGGATACCGAAAGAAATCGTCACCAACAATGGATCCCAGTTTATCAGTTCAGGCTTCAGGGATTTCTGCGACCTATGGGGGATCAAGCTTAGCTTCTCCACCCCCCGCAACCCCTAGTCCAACGGCTAGGCCGAGTCATCAAATAAAACCATCATATAGACCTTAAAAAAGCAATTGCAGAAAGCGAAGGGTGCATGGGCAAATAAGCTACCCGGAGTCATTTGGGCCTACCGAACTACAGCTCGCTCGTCAACAGGCGAGACCCCCTTCTCCCTTATATACGGTTCTGGAGCGGTCATCCCAACCAAAGTATCAGTTTCGTCCACCAGGCTCCAATGGGCGAACGAGGAAACCAACAGCCAGAACCTTTGCCAGAACTTGGACACCGTCGATGAGCTATGCGAGCATGCGAGCATCCACAACGCTGTCTACTAGCAGAAGGCCACCTGACACTACAATCGCAATGTCAGGATCAGAACTTTCAAAACAAGCGACTGGGTCCTCCGTAAGGTCTTTCAAAACACTAGGGAGATCAATTTTGGCAAACTCGGCCCCACTTGGGAGGGTCCCTACAAGATCATCAAAGAAGCGGAAAAGGGCACCTACTGACTCCAGACTCCGGAAGGCAAAGACATCAGCAACAGTTGGAATGCAGTCCACCTCAAACGCTACTACTTTTAGGTGAACTCATTCGTTTACATGTTTTCTTTCTTTTTAATTAAAAGGGATGAGTGGGCCTATCCACCTCCTTCATAGACAGTCGGCCTCATGGCTCGGATTTAATGAAGTATTATTCAGCAATTTACATCTTCTGTCGGCCTATCCGATCAATAAGTTTACATATTATTCAACAATTTACACCTTCGGATCGGCCCTGCCTAATCCACGGATTTACACATTCGGATCGACTCTGCTCGATTCACGGATTTACACCTTCGAATCGACCCTGCTCGATCCACTGATTTACACCTTTGGAAAGACCCTGCTCGATGCAAGGATTTACACCTTCGGATCGACCTTGCTTGATCCACGAATTTACACCTTCAGATCGACCCTGCTCGATCCACGGACTTATACCTTCGGATCGACCCTACTTGATCCATAGATTTACACCTTCGAATCAACCCTGCTCGATTCAGGGACTTACACCTTTGGATCGACCGTGCTTGATCCATGGATTTACACCTTCGGATCGACCCCGCTCAATCTACGGACTTACACCTTCGGATCGACCCTGCTCGATCCATGGACTTATACCTTCGGATTGACCCTGCTCGAACCATGGACTTACACCTTCGGATCGACCCTGCTCGATTCATGGATTTACACCTTTGGATCGACCCTGCTCGATTCACGGATTTACACCTTTGGATCGACCTTGCTCGATTCATGGACTTACACCTTCGGATCGACCCTGCTCGATTCACGGACTTACACTTTTGGATCAACCCTACTCGATTCACGAACTTACACCTTCGGATCGACCCTGCTCGATCCATGGATTTACATCTTCGAATCGAATCTGCTCGATTCACGGATTTACACCTTCGGATCGACCCTGCTCAATCTATGTATTTACACCTTTGGATCGACCCTGCTCGATCCACGGATCTACACCTTTGACAGGCCCCGCCCGGTTCATGAAGCTACACATCCAGTCACCCAGACCGAGTGAAGGTTTCTTACACCTAAAAAACGACAAGTCATCGACCCAACCTAATAGAGAGTCAACACGACTCAGCCACTGGGTCGCACCAAAATCACAACACAAGCATAAGAGTTCAACCCCTAGTGCATCTACGAACAAAGAAGCAATCAACAACTCATTCACCCATCAGGAAAGTATCAAAAACAAAACAACAAATATTAACATATAAATAGCCTCAAGCGGCTCAGTTCAGAAATACAATAAAAGGCACACACACCAAGAAAGGGCATCACAGGCCCCAAAATACATGAGCAAAGCAAAAATAAAGCTAAGTGTCATCGATGCGAGTCGTCTCTCCCAACTCCGACTCGGTCACCCCATCACCAGTGCCAGCACCTGTCCCTGCAGCCTGTTCGCTCACATCCTTAGTAAT